GTAGGCGTTGGCTGCCTGAAGCCTACCGACGCCTCGCCAGCGATCCCTGCGGTGTCTCGTGCCTACCCTGTCAATCAGCCAGTAGCCGCCCCGCGGGGTGTCCCCTCAGAGCCGTCCTGCTCTGCCCTACTGCAGCGCCCCTCTGCCGATCCCATCCCAGCCCAATAGGGTCCCCCAACTCCTCCAGCCCCAGATTTTCCCCGGCAGCTGCCTCCCTCCATCCTCGTGCCAAATGCCCTCTTCTCGGCACCAGCTCCATCAGATGCTCTCCGTCGCCACTGCCTCCACCCCCCACACCGCCACCCCCTGTCCCCTCCACCCGCTCCCTCCCTCCCCTGCGCTGCCTCGGATTAAAAACTTCAGACGCGCCAAAACGAAGATGAATGAGTTGAAATAACTCAAGAGGAGTTCAAATTGATTTGAACGCAGGGACCGGATCAGACCTGTAGTCTCCCCAAATCCAGGGATACTGGATGTCTCACAGGAAGGGGCGAGAAAGAATCTGTCCCCTCCACAAACTAAATATTCCCCTTGGTTTTTGCTTTCTATCTCCCCACCTTTCTTTGCTAAAGGAGGTAAAAATCACGAGGAAAATGTTGTGTGACTGCACTTATTTCCCTATTTACTACAGGGCCACACTACAATTACTCACTTATGTATAGTTAAGTGCATAAATCCGGTTATGTAGAGCCATCAGAAAAAGCACGCCCTTTATGTGATAAAATCAGATAATGCATCTTTTAACATTAAAACAAATTCACTGAAATAATCAGGTGCAATTCCACTTACTTTATTCAGTAGTGTTACTCCCACTTATTAGCAGTGTGGTTGGCTCAGCATATTAGTTTTCATGGTCATCCAACCCTATTCCCTATCTCTTGAGAAATTAAACATACTGACTACTGATGATATGAGAGAGTAAAGCCACCTGGTTAAAAATGTACTACCCAGGAAATATAACCTTGAATTTTGTTACAGCCAATAACTAGATCCTCAGCTGTTGCATTCATATGGTTCTCTTTTTTAAAAAACTTAATGCTTATGTAAAAAAGTAGAACTGTGTTACAAATAAATTTGTCAAATTACTGACTCCATGACATCAAGTCCAACTGTATTAAAACATGCAATACAATGCCACAGGGGAGAATTCTAACGTAATATTGCAAATTGATTATGTATTGATAACTGTATTTTAATAATTTACTTATATTGCCTATATTTGTATAAAAACTTGGCAGCAAGTGTAATTCAAAAGCAAAGCTACTGTCCTTTCTTGCTTCCCTTTCCAAATCCATGCAATTGTCTCATGTTTTTCTGTGACATTTTTTAACAAAAATGAAGATTTAAAAATGAAAGTTTTGAATAATATTCAAATCCTATAATAAACATAGAGAGTACATATCAAGAAAGGCAAAGGGAATTTAGTTCACTGAAGAGACATTTTTGTTTAAAGTATCCAGGAATGATTGTAAAAATACATTAAAATATTGTTTTTAAATATTATAAGAATAGATTGGTAGTGTCCTTTTACCTGGTTCCTTTTTTCTCTTTACTTTTTTCTCCTTTACTACTTCTTATATAGCATCATAACATATATTTCCTCTTTCAATTTCTGTATGTTAATTTTTAATTACTTTCAGCTTTTTTCTCCAACACCATTCGCCTTTCCTCCTTTTTTTCTTCAAAATTGTTCCTTTTGTAATTATTTAGCTTCTTTATTTCCTTTCTTATTTGCTCCCATTTTTATTAGATGCTGACATTTTCTGAAAACAGTCTTTGCCCCTCTCAGTATAATTTTTGTCATTTAATGTTTATTTCTCTTTATTCTTATTATTTAATTTAAAATTTTACTCCATCTGTCACTGCTATGTCTTTGGTCTCTCTATATCTCCTTCTTTCTCTTCTTCCTCCCTTCCCACCTTTGGCCTTGTGGTCTCTCTAAAAAAATGGTACTTTATAATTTCATTGCAATCTCATGCTCACCACAATGGTATAAAGCATCTGACTTCCATTTCCCCTGATTATTCAATTTCCAGGGAACTTTTATATTTCTTTCTCTGTAACTCACTCAGGGTTATTGCTGATTGTACCATGTGTTTGGTCAGTGAGCCAATTGTATCCCAATCGCTTGATGCACTGTAATCTCAAAGAGTTCAATATAATCTAATAGGGTGGTCTCTTCCTTCCTAATACTGTAGCATTTGTTCTGTCCTAAATGAGCTGTCTATGTGCCACTCTTCTCATAAAGCAAAGATTGGAGCAGAGGCAGCTCAGCAGATGAGGTTAACATATGAAGAACATCTCTAAGAATTCCAAGCTTGATTGTCGG